TTGCAGTGAGCTGAGATCGCACCACTGCACTCCAGCCTGGCAACAGAGTGAGACTCCGTCTCAAAAAACAAAACAAAACAAAAACAAACAAACCAAAAAAAAAACCAAAAAAAAAAAAACAAAGAAAAAATAAGAAAAGGAAGAGTCACCAGAGCTCTCTCTCTTGCTTTCTGCCATGTGAGGACACAATGAGAAGACAGTCATCTACAAGGAGAGTCCTCACCAGGAATTGAATCAACTGACACTTTGATCTAGGACTTTCCAGTCTCCAGAACTCTGAGAAATAAATTTTCGTTGTTCAAGTCACCCAGTCTGCAGTATTTTGTTATGATAGCCCAATCAGACTAAGACAGAATTTGGTTGCAGAAGTGGGGTGCTGATGTACAAATATCTAAAAATGTGGAAGTGGCTTTGAAACTGGGTAATGGATAGAAGCTAGAGAAACTTTGAGGTGCATGATAGAAAAGGCCTGGATTGCCGTGAAGAGACGTTGGTAGATGCTCAATGATTCCTAGATAGCTATGGCCAACCTAGTTTCTCCCCTCTTTTCTTCTTACCTGGAGTTCTCAGAATAATGATAGAATGTGACAGGAATGTGGTATCCTGAGATAGGGAGGACCTTCCCCAAACAGCCCAGGCCTTGTTTCTATCCCTCTTAGGAAATGTAACATCTTGAATTAGGGGGAGACTGACCAGGACAGCCTGAGCTTTGTTCCCTTCTCCTCTGGAATCAGGGTGTCCTTTAAAGCTTTTCCCAGTGACACATTTTTTCTCTGAAAGTATCCCAGTGTTGGCCACCTTTCTGTTCCCTCACTTGTGGTGCAAGTGAGGCACATGTCGTTGAGACTCCATCCATCCCAGGCAGATTTTTTTAAGCCTTGGGGGAAAGCTCATGATGGATCCTAGGCTTCTTTTGCCCCTTGCTGCCTATCTGTAAGTAATAAATCTGTTTCATATAACCTGTTGCATGTTAGTGTGTTTTGTCTCATGGACTCAGTCCAGCATGCAGTAGGTGGAAGTATTCAGATTCCTATTCCTGTTGGTTGGTATAATGGAGGATCTTTGCTGTCCTCCACATAGCAGAGTCCTCCCTTGAAACTGGTTATTGCCATTAAATAAATTTATTATTAAATAAGAAAAACAAAAAGGAACTAAGTAAGACTGCTTGACAAAATTGGTGCAGTGAGCAGGGTCCAGTCTGACAGAACCATGACTTTATTGGAGAAACAGGAGGAGTTATATACCTTAATACTCAGCCCTGGATAGAGATGTCAGCCTAGGGAAATAGGGTCTAAACATGCAACTGGATAATTTACAGGGAAGAAAGAATAACAAGTGGAATGTAGGTTACATAACCCCTGCCCCTTGCCTCACAGATGTGAGGGAGCTGGTTGCATGGACTGAAGCAACAGGAAAAAATGTGGAAACAGGGAAGTGTGTGCTCAGTCCCCTGGCTGTTGGGCATTTATGTAATCACTCATTCCTGGAGCTGGAGAGCTCAGGAATTGGGTACTCAGATGGACTCTGAGACACAGGGAACAAGAATGAAGTCCTCAGATGGTCTCTGAGGCATCTGAGAGGGAACCAACAAGTGCGGCATGTGCCTTCACAGGAAGGGAAACTTATGATCTAAGGGACAGATATGGGGAAAAACAAAGGACATATTATCTTGGCTGTCTTAGATAGTTGTTCAAGGAGAACAGAACATTTTGCTCTCCTGAAAAAAAATGGCACAAGTAGGGATGGGAACCAGGTCTCCACGCTCCCATTGGAGGCAATGGCCCTATACTTCTGTCAAGATAAAAGGAGAAAAAATAAACCCATTGTATCAAGAAGTTTTGGAATAATGTGGTAATCCGTGGTGCTTATCTGCTGGTAGAGTTTATCTCCTTATAGGTGGGACACTTTGGGCCATTTCCAGTGCTAGTGACCATGGTTACAACCACTGAGTACATTATAGGAATTGACATTTTGGCTGCTTGTGACACACAGCATCACCACCACCTAACGGGTTATGCCTCCTGACAGCTAAGAATTCAAGCCTTAGCAGTGGGGCATATCCACTCCTGCCTGCCACTCAAGTGACTTAAGCTCCAATGGGTTATTCAACAAAAGCAGTGCTGCATACTAAGTAGAGAACAGGATATTATTGAGTTAATTCAAAATTTACTATGGACAAAAATGTTACAACCCATCCTGTTACCCAATTTGGCTGGTCAAAAACACCTTCCAGGTATGAAGATTAACAATGGACTATCATATGCTGAATGTCAAGGCTACTTGGATAGGAAGACAAAAAAAAAGAGTATCCCAGATATGGTCAGGGAAAAATGTTTAACCTTGGCAGTACCCACTCATAAAAAGGAGGCCCAATGGCTCGTAGGCCACTTTGACCACTAGACACAGCATGTACCCTACTTGGATGTTTTTTGGTTTCCCTTAGTCAAAGTGACTAGCAAACTTAACTTTGAATGGGGCCCTTTGCAGCAGAAGACCTTGGAAGTCATTTAACAAGCCATGGCTCAGGCACTACCTTGAAAACTTTTAGAGCCTGCTAACCTGATGAAATTACAAATGTTTGGAACCTCCATGCATGCTGATTAGAGTCTGTGGCAACAGAAAACTGCCACTGAGGTATATCAGCCTGTGAGATTTTGAATATGTAAGTTACCTGAGACAGTCACCAGATATACATCTTTTAAAAGGCAATGTCTTGCTTGTTATTGGACACCGGTGGAGACTGAGCAACTTATGGCAGGGGTGCCACATGCAACAATGCAACCTGAACTTCCCATTCTTACTAGAGTGCTCACAACCCCCCAAAATAAAATTGGATCAGCTCAACAAAGCTCCATTATCAAATGGAAATGGTACAGTCAAGATTGGAACCAACTGGAACCCCAAGGGACCAGCAGGCTCTATGAACAAATGGCTAGCTTACCAGAAGGGACCAAGGAATGTTTAAGGTGTGTTTTGACTCTTCCTGTGGCCACTTGAAGCCCAAGACTCAGAGGGTGCCTACTGACTGTATGACACAGTTTACTGATGACTCTGCAAAACAACAAGCAGATTAGGTCCACTGGGCTGGGGCTACCATCTGGCCAATGTAGGGCCATCTTTTGACTGAGACTAAACGTGAACATTTTGCCAATGGTCTGCACTAGGTGCAGTGGTGATGACCATGCAAGCCACCCTTACAATCATATCCTGTTACATTTTCACTGATTCATGGGCTGTTGCTAACAGCCTAGCCATCTGGCACGAGAATGGCAATTAAATGACTGGACTATTAAAGAACCCACTGTTGGGGGACAAGAACTATGGCAACAGCCCTCTACCTGGAAGGGACAAATATACAGATGCTCCTCCACTTACAATGTGGTTATGGCCCAATAAACCCATTGTAAGTTGAAAGGATCATGAGTTGAAAATGCATTTAACACACCCTAACATATGGAATATCATAGCTTAGCCTGGCCTACCTTAAATGTACTCAGAGCACTTACATTAGCCTACAGTTGGCCAAAATCATCTAACGTAAAGCTTATTTTATTTTATTTTTAATTTAATTTAATTTCTTTTTTTGAGATGGAGTCTCGCTCTGTCGCTGAGGCTACAGTGCAGTGGCGTGATCTCGGCTCACTGCAAGCTCTGCCTCCCAGATTCACACCATTCTCTTGCCTCAGACTCCCGAGTTGCTGGGATTACAGACACCTGTCACCACACCCAGCTAATTTTTTGTATTTTTAGTAGAGATGGGGTTTCACCATATTACAATAAGATGTTGAATATTTTGTGAAATTTATTCAATACTGTACTTAAAGTGAAAAACAAAATGGTTATATGAGTACTCAAAGTATAGTTTCTACTGAATATGTATTCTTTTGCACCATTGTAAAGTTGAAAAATCATAATTCAAAACATCATTAGTTTGGTATGTCACTTGAGTAGATACTGGGACTACCATAGCTGCCCTTGAAAAGAACCTATGTCATGTTTTTGGATACCCTATGAGACTTCTTTCTGGTCAAAGAACATCCTTCACTCCCCCCAGCAACATGACAATGAATACACTTTAGTGGGATATGAAGGACTTCACATGCACACCATCATCTGCAGATAAATGGAGCTATTCAATGAAACAGCTGCCTCACAAAGCAACTGAAGAAAGAGCATTAAAGAGCTCTTGTAGTGGGTTGGTACTTCCATTTGACTAGGGCAGTATGGACACTAGACACTGCACTCCATCACAAGAGAAACACAGCAATGCAGCATACGTTGGCAAACACTGAGTTTGTTTGGGGTGGAGGTGGACCAGGTAGCAGTCCAATTAGGCTGCACCTATGAAATTCCAATCTTAGTGCTCCTGATCATTCATTTTCCTTTTTTCCTTTAAAGTGCAAATCGTGGGGGTGGTTTATGGTTCACACAATAGTGCTCCAGACGGAGTTTTCTAACTCTTATCGGGAAGTAATGCTTTCCCTGGGATCCTCCCTTCTATAGGATCCCACAGGGGTGGGTGACATCAGAATGTCAAGTTTATACAGAATGTGACTTCCTTTCCTGGACTAGATGGCTGAGGCCAAAAGATCGACTGGCTCTGTCACCTGCGCAACAGAGCAAGACTCCATCTCAAAAAAAGAAATTAAGTTAAATTAAAAGTAAAATAAAATAAAATAAGCTTTATGTTAGATAATTTTGGCCAACTGCAGGCTAATGTAAGTGCTCTGAACACATTTAAGGTAGGTCAGGCTAAGCTATGATATTCCGTATGTCAGGGTGTGTTAAATGCATTTTCAACTTACGATCTTTTCAACTTACAATGGGTCAAACAACAAGGGCAATCAATGGATGCCTGCAGAGGTAGTGGGCTCGGGACAGGGACAGACAGACAAAGTCATTACACCAACTCAGAGCAACCCCTGTCTGATAGGCAGAGAACATCTGAGGCTGAGGGAAGGAGAAAGGGGAACTAACCTGTCAATTTGGTCTTTCTATAGGATCATGGATGCAGAGGCCTGGAAGCATGGGACCTTTGTGAGGTTTTCCCAAGCTGGGGACACTATGACATAGTGTTGGATTTGCCATCCTGGACCTTACTCTGTCACTGACCAGAGTGACTCCCTTGTCCTGCCAGTGATCAACTATGCTGATAATCCTAACACAATGGATTCTAGGCTTCTTTTGTCTTCCTCTGCATATCTGTAAGTAATAAATCTGCTTCATGTAACTTGTTGCATGTTAGTGTGCTCTGTCTCACTGGCCTCAGGCAATTGGTAACACTGCAACCCAGGATGCAGTGGGTGGAAGTGTTTAGAATCCTATTCTTAGTGGCTGGCATAGTGATGATCTTTGTTGTCCTTTCTGCAGTGGGAGTCCCCCTTTGGGATTGGTTATTAGTGAACCTGCTTCACAATAGAAATATGAACATCAAAGGAGATTCTCTTCCAGAGAAGAAAAGAGAGAGCTGGAGAGAAGGCCTCCATCTTCTCAGATAATATATAAATTATCATGAGCAGAATATTGGCAGAAATATGGTGTTAAAGGCCATTCTGGTGAGATCTCAGATGAAAATCAGGAACATGTTATTGGAAACTGGGGAAAGGTGATTTTTGTTATGAAGTGGCAAAGAAGTTGGCCAAACTTTGTTCTACTGTTTTGTGGAAGAAAAACTTGCCAGCAATGAAACTGGAATCTTTAGCTGAGGAGCTTTCTAAGTAAAGTGTTGAAGGTGTGGCTTGTTTCCTCCTGAGTACTATAGTAAAATGCAAAAGGAAAGAGGTGAATTAAAAAGGGAATTTTTTAAACAAAAGAAACAAAAACTTAAAGATTTGAAAAATTCTCAACCATCCATATTGCAAAAAAAAAATCAAATCAAACTTTTTTCTAAAGGGAACATCAAAGATATGGCTGGATTATCACTTGATAAAGAGTTTTTGGGGTTCTATTAGCAGAAACACTGCCAGTTTGAACTGAAGGGAAGGGAGATGGGATAAAATAAAGGCTGCCAAATTTTTGGAATTCTATAGCACAAGATCATAGAGCTATTTGGCTGCAAATACTTGCCCTTCTTCAAGAAAAGGGGAGATTAACCCAAAGGTGATTTCAGTGATCACCAGGGCTGCCACTCCCACCACAGGTCCAGGAGGGAAGGATGTTTCCTATTATGTTTCAGAAAGTGGGGTACTTACAGAGAGCCACATGGAAGGGACCCTGGCAGAAAGCCATAGGGGCAGGGCCCTGGGAGAGCCCAAGGGGTATGACCACACCACAGAGCCATGGGGGTGATGCTGTCACCACATGGGTCCAGAAGATGGGATCATCACTTCAGTGGATCTGGAAGATGGAGCATCAAAAGAGGATTATTCTTTTTTTCATTTCGACTTGTATTTTAGATTCAGGGGATGTAAAGTGCGGTTACATGGGTTTATTGTGTGATGCTCAGTTTTGGGATATGATTGATTCCAACACTGAGGTAGTAAGCATAGTAACCAATAGTTTGTTTTTCAACCCTTGTCCCCTCCTACCCTCCTTTGTGTAGTTTTCATCTTTATGTGTATTGTTGCCATCTTTATGCCCATAAGTACTCAATATTTAGTTTCCATTTATAAGTGATGCAACATTTTTTTTTTCTGTTTCTGCATTAATTAGCTCAGAAAAATGGCCTCCAGCTATATCCATGTTGCTGCAAAGGACATAATTTCATTCTTTCTTATGCTTGCATGGTTCCACAGTTTTCCATGGTGTATATGTACCACATTTTATTTAGAAGATATTTCTTTTTTTTTTCTTTTGAGACAGAGTCTCACTCTGTCACCCAGGCTGGAGTGCAGTGGCCAGATCTCAGCTCACTGCAAGCTCTGCCTCCCGTGTTTATGCCATTCTCCTGCCTCAGCCTCCCGAGTAGCTGGGACTACAGGCGCCCGCCACCTCGCCCGGCTAGTTTTTTGTATTTTTTTAGTAGAGACGGGGTTTCACCATGTTAGCCAGGATGGTCTCGATCTCCTGACCTCGTGATCCACCCGTCTTGGCCTCCCAAAGTGCTGGGATTATAGGCTTGAGCCACTGCGCCCGGCCTGGAGGATAATTATTTAGCCTTAAGGTCTAATGGAATTTGCCTTGCTAGGTTTTGGAGTTGTTTGAGACCTACCACGATTCTTACTTTCCAATTTATCTCTTTTGGAAGGGGAATGTCTATCCTATGCCTGGCATATCATTGTGTTTTGGAAACTTGTCTGCTTTTGTAAGTTGACAGTGGGAGAGGAATTTTGCCTCAGAATGAATCATACCTCAAATCTCACCTATATCTGATTTAGATGATGTTTAGATGAGACTGAACTTTAGACTTCAGAAATCATGCTGGAGTGAGTTAAGACCTTTGCAGCTGTCGGAACGGACTGAACATATTCTGCATGTAGTAAGAGAAGGAATGTTGGGGATTATGGGTGGAATGCTATGAGCTGATTTGTCTCCCCAAAATCCATATGTTGAAGCCCTAACCCCTAACATGACTATATTTGGAGACAAGGCCTAAAAGGAGGTAATTAGGGTAAAATGAGGTAGTAAGGGCAGAGACCTAATCCAATAGGGCTGGGGACTTACAAAAAGAAGAGACACCAGAGCTGTCTCTCTCTCTACTATGTGAGGACACAGTGAAAAGGTGGCCATCTATAAGCCAGGGCTCAGGTGATCCTGCCACCTCAGCCTCCCAGGTGCATGCCACCATGCTTGGCTAAATTATTATTTTGGAGACAGAGTCTCACTGTCACCCAGGCTGTAGTGCAGTGACGTGGTCATAGCTTACTGCAGCCTTGACCTCCCAGGCTCAAACCATCCTCCCACCTCAGCCTCCTGAGTAGCTGGGACTACAGGTGCACACCACCACCCCTAGCTAATTTTTAATTTTTTTGTAGAGACCTGTTCTCCCCATATTGCACATAATGGTCTTGAACTCCTGGGCTCAAGCAATCCTCCCACTTTGACCTCCCAAAGTACTGGGATTATAGGCATGAGCCACCATGCCCAGTGTGAAGACAATAAAAAAAGAAAAAATCTACTGCTTGAAAAAGGCTTTGGTACCAGAGCCTTTGACAACTTTGAAAGAACAGATAATTGTTTTTTTCTTTTTAAGGTATTGCTCAGATTGTAACACTTCCCAATTTACTTTAGGATGTCAGAATAAATTGAAAATCCATTTTCTAAATAAAAGTAAAAAGTGAAGCCTGGTATTCAAAAAAAAAAAATTCAAGCAAGATTTGTTTCAGGAATGCAATAATGTTTGAACATTAGGAAATCTACCAACATAATCAATTACTATAACAATTAAAAGAGAGAAAAGTATATGGTGAGATCAACAAATGCCAAAAATATTTATTTGACTAGATTACTAGCCATCTGTATTAAGCCATTCTTGCATTGCTATAAAGAAATACCTGAGACTGGGAAATTTATTTTAAAAAAAAACAGGTTTAATTGGCTCACAGTTCTGCAGACTGTACAGGACACATAGTGTAGGCATCTGCTTCTGGGGAGTCTTCAGGAAGCTTTGACTCATGGCAGAAGGCAAAGCAGAAGCTTGCACGGCACATGGTGAAAACAAGAGCAAGAGACGGAGTGGGCGGGGAGGTGCCACACACTCAAACAACCAGATCGCTCAAGAACTCACAATACCCGAGGATAGCACCAAGCCATGAGGGATCCGCCCCCATGACCCAAACATTTTCCCCCCAGGCCCCACCTCCAACATGGGGGATTATAATTCAATGTGAGATTTGGTGGGGACATATATTCAAACTAGATCACCATTCTAACAAAAATTCCAAGTAAATAAAAATAGAAGGAAACTACCTAAACATAATGAAGATCATTTAGCAAAATACAGTGGAAAATAGTTTTTTAAATGGCAGGCCAGGTAAACAATTTACATTCAAATCAGAAACTAGGCATAGAATCATATTGGCACCATATTTATTTAACACTGTCTTAGAAGTTTTCATGAATACAATAAGATGAGAAAATGAAAGAACTGGCATAAAAATTTTAAAAGAACAGTTTAAGTGATCTCTTTCTGCCAATGACATTATATACCTAGAAAACCTAAGAGAGCTAGTAAAATACTTGTAGAGTTAAAAGATAAATTGGTAAGGTAGCTATATATCAAAGCAATATACTAAATTCAATAGGTTTTTCAATTTTCTGGCCATAAGCACCTAGAAATAAAAAGTGAGAAAAAATATTCCATTCATAATAATGGAAAAACTATATAAAGTGCTTCGGAATAAAATGAAAGTAAAAATATGAAAAGAAAAAGAAAATTTTATTGACAGCCACAATTTAAGAACATTAGACCTGAGAAATGGGAAGATAAATTATATGTTTGGATGAGAAAACGTAACAGAATAAAAATGGCAGTCTTTTCAAAAGTAATATGTTAATAGTTGTCATCCAGTTATGTTTATTTTAGAAAAGGATAATAATAACTGTAACATTTATATGAAAGGCTAAATGCTACAGAACAGCCAAAAAAATATGAGAAATAAGAATAGTGAGGACCGGGCACAGTGGCTCATGCCTGTAATCCCAGCACTTTGGGAGGCCGAGGCGGGCGGATCACGAGGTCAGGAGACTGACACCATCCTGGCTAACACGGTGAAACCCCGTCTCTACTAAAAATACAAAAAATTAGCCAGGTGTGGTGGCAGGTGCCTGTCCCAACTACTCAGGAGGCTGAGGCAGAAACATTGCTTGAACTTGGAAGGCGGAGGTTGCAGTGAGCCGAGATTGCGCCATTGCACTCCAGCCTGGGTGACAGAGCGAGACTCCGTCTCAAAAAAAAAAAAAAAAATATATATATATATATACACACACATATATATACACACACACACACACACATACACACACATTTAAAAAGATGATAGTTTAACTGGAGAGAGGATGGGTTATTTTTTAAATGGCATGGCACAACTCATTGCCCATCTGGAAGAAAATAAATTTAAACCAGTTATTTACCATATTCAAATATAAATTGTAGATAGACTATGACTGAACTTTTTTTTCTAGATGTTTCAAGAAAATAAAATACCATATTTACAATTTAGGAGGGGAGAGACTTTCTTAACTACAAATGAAAACTCTGAAAACATACAAGAAATGGTAAACATATTTGAATTTAAAAAAACAAAAATAGGACAGGTGTGGTGGCTCACACCTGTAATTCTAGCACTTTGG